AATCCAGACTACAATGTAATTGGCAACTATGATGAACTGGCAAATGAAGAAGTAGAAATATAGGAAGCAGGTAGGGTGATGCAGGGGAAGGGGTAGGTGGGGAAGGCCAACAAGAGCAGATGAGGGAAGAGGAAGCAGGTGTGTGGGTGGGTGTGTGTGTGGCAGTCAGGTGATTGGTAAAGGAGGGAAAGTGAGGACATCTGGTGGGTGGAAGGAACATGGCACAGGTTGCCACATCAAAAACATTTGACAAAAACTGAAATATAACATACATTTGTGGAGACACATACATAAAATGTAGACATAAAAGGAACTCATTAACAATGGATGCATCCAAAAATATTTGCAAACGAGGATTCTCTCACATCTTCAGTATTGCATAACCTAGCCTACTGGTCCCAGAACAGTAATGCAGGGCTGAAACCAATATAGGTTCTTTATAAACATAAACGTTTTTGATAAGATATCATTATATTTCCATCATTGCAACATATTATCCACGCCAAACACAGACTCAAACTGGACTCAAACTTGTGACTGGATCCTGAACTTCCTGACGGGCAGACCCCAGTGCGGGTGGGAAACATCACATCCTCCACCCTGATCCTCAACACCGGAGCCCCGCAAGGCTGCGTGCTCAGCCCTCTCCTCTACTCCCTGTTCACACACGACTGCGTGGCCACATAGGCTACAGCTCCAACACCATTGTGAAGTTTGCTGACGACACGACCGTCATCGGCCAGATCACCGACAGCGACGAGACGGCCCTCAGGATTACAAAAATACCCCCATCACCCCAGCCACAAACTGTTCTGTCTGCTGCCGTCTGGCAGGCGGTACCGCAGCATCAGGACTAAAACCACCAGACTCAGGGACAGTTTCATCCCCCAGGCCATAAGACTGTTAAACACCTGAACTTAATCTGGCTGCAATTTAGAAATTATTTATCTAACATATCATATTCAATCACTTGTTAAAGACTCTTATTGGACTATTCCACTATTTCACTTTTTTACTATTTTTCTTTTTGTATGCACTATTTTTTCTGTTTTTGTTCTGTTTTATTGTGTTGCACTGTTGGAGGAGTCTGGCTGTGACCTAAGATTTTTATTGTCATAACTACACTCTAGCTATGTACGCATGACCAATAAAAGCCTTGAACCTTGAACCCTGACCAAACCTCCCACTCTGACACACTGCCTTCCCACAATCTTTTTTTATTTGCGGCCATCAAGCATTGGAATATGCTTCCATCTGAGCCCAAAATGTGCACAGACACTCTTTTTACCATCGTGCAAGACATTTATATTGAGTAACCAGTCTTGCCAAGATTAATTTGACTGTAGTTTCTAGTTCAAATAGATTGTAATAATATATTTGTATGGTACTAGATACTATGATCTGTACTTTGTTTTATAATTGTTTTTGCGATTGAGATACTATGTTTTAGTGTTGGCTGATGGATACTTGTGTTCCTGCCCAAGGACTGCAGCTGGAAATTATCTATTAGCTCTAATTTGGCCTGGATCATCTTTTCTCTTCCTGGGAAAAATGTATTTTTATGCATGGTCCTTGTTCAAGACAGAATCATTATAAAAAAAGCAAGGGATAGGGAATAGAGAATGTGGCTAAAGAAGAGGAACAGAGGGAAGAAACTGTGACAACATCTTGTTTGTTTAATCAGCATAAAAAAACAAGGAGTTAAAACAAAAACATCCTCTTTTAATGGGACAGTGTGTGCCAGACTATTGTGCAGTCATGCACAGAACCCCCCTCTAAAATGTTATATGGGTCAGCCTAACCCATGGACTGCTCAGAACAGTCAGTAACAAAACAGGATAAAGGGAATTCTGCCAACTAAGTGAGAGAGATATCATTTCCTGTTTTTCAAATAAAAACTCCTTTTTTCCCTTGGTTTCTCAGAGCACGGGAGAAATGCAATGACTTTCACACTGTTCTCGGGAATACTGACTTTACTGAAAGAAGATTATTTTTCTAAATGCATGTGTGAAATCGTAAATGAGCATCATATGGAACAGTTGGCAAATTATTGAGTGTAAACCAATTTTTAGTAATGAGAGTTCATCTGAAACCTTTGCCTTTTCCACTTGTTGTTTTCAGCCACATCTTTTTCGAGACGTCTGCATCCAGCCAAACCAGTGTGGGTGGATTAAAATTGTCCCTTGTGGTTTTTAAATGTTTAATAAAAATACTTCTTCAGCAGATCTCTAAGGTTACAGTTTTAGAATAAACAAAAATAAAAAGTCCCAATATAAATGGCTGGTATGTCATTCCTTTTAATGATGTGTGAAAGGCAATAAAAATACCACAAATACAAGTAAGAAAGGAAGCAAAAATAAGTCAAATTAAACCAAAAATGGTATGTTGCTATAAACCACTGGTTTATAGCAACATACCATTAAAGTTCATATGTAATTAATAATCTGATGATATCCGCTTTACCTGGCTTTGACTTCCACTATTATTGATTACTCACCTGTGGCCTCAACGATACCCTCCAAGATCAAGGATTATCTTAATTTGTTGATGCTGAGGGCTCAGTTCCTGAGGACAGTTAAAGTCAATATTGTGCAGACTGACTTTAGGTCCAACTGAGTGTCAAGATCATGGACAAGATTTGAGCTGAAATGAAGCAAGATCTAGTAAATCCCTTTGGTGTAAGAGGCGGCTCTCAGGAGAGCTAAAGGAAGTCTGATGTTGGTTTATTTTGGAACAGGCTTGGGAAGATCTGGAAAATCCCTTACAACGGTTTCCGTAAGTAGAAGAGATGAGTCTAACTTGAAATAACAAAAAAGCCATTGAGGTGACTTTCTCCAGCCGCACACAGTTTTGAATCTGAGTTAGTTTAAGTTCTGTAATGCCAGGTTTCTCCTTCTCAGTTGCTTCATTTTCTTCATTTAGCCTATAATATTTGCATTGGCCTTTTCCAGATTGTATACAAAACATATAAAACATAAAAACATGATTTCATCGAGTTAACCAATACATATTTGTGATACAATCAAGATCAAATGAAGTGTTTGACAAAACCCCAAATCACTGCCTTACATTTATCATGCCGATTTCAAAGTGAATTATATCTCCCAAAAGTGTGTATGGGTGACGATTTCGTCACCCATAGATTCCGGTTTGCAGGGCCTTCACCGTCCATGTCCCATCCTTGGAGGCCCTTGGAGGCCCCATGGCTGGCTCCTATGCTTCCAATAGATCCAGGGGACCCTTTGTTCCCAATGTTGAGGTCTCGTATTGCATCAGGATGCATAAGAGAAATTCAAAAGCAAGAAACAAGAGCAGCAGAGAATGAGTGTTATTGTAGGTTACAAGGTTATTGCATTGATTTAAGTCACACAGGATATATTACACCCTGGCCGGCAGGAGGAGCACTTAGCTCCTTAAAATAAATACAAGCTTGTTTATAGTTCTTTAAACACAGTGCTTTAACCCAAAATAACTCCCACTTGTTACAAACAATACAACTCTGATGGTATTTTTTAAATATAGCTTTACAAACATATGGTTTAAATACAAACCATGAGTAACATTTCTACAGCTGTTTGTAGAAAGAAATAGCATATTTGGTTTACAGGAAAGAATGCAAAGGTTATCCAAAAGCATTACCAGACAGTAAATTCAACGTTTGGACATACTCCACTTAAAGCTTGTGTTTTACTAAATAAGGGAGCAGACTAAAGGTTTCAGTATGAATACACTGACTTTAAAAGGTCAGTTTCACATCAAAGTGCAGTAGGTTCAAATTAGGCTTTTGTGGCCTTCAGGGATGAACCATTTGAAAGGTTAAACTCGACCATGACATGCATTCAGCAGTGTGTGTTCTTCAGACACTTCCCCAAAAATGTGATGAATATTTTCCAATGACTAAACGTTTTTGAAAGTAGTATGTTAGTTGAGGAACAAATTGTACATAAGTCAGCACATAAATCGTCATTCAAAGTCACTGTCTTGAGATTAATGCAACACTTTTTTGCAAGTCCATATCTTCTTATATTTAAGAATATTACTCAACGAGGAATACCTGCCTGTCAGCCTTCCATCTGTGCACAAACTTATCTCTTGCCCTCATTGGTCATGTGCGCGTTCGTGTGTGTTGGAGGAGGGGCTCTGTAAGGAAGTGGCAGATTTTTTCCGGTTGTGTATTTTCAAATTCTCGCTCACTCGAGCTGGTTTCTCCAAAATTACCTACTCCACCTTTAAGAAGAGATGGCCGAAGAGAGGGACAAAGATGCAGAATGTTACAGTTACACCATACAGTCAATGAGTAATGGTTTATATCTTAACATTACAGTCTCCATGACCAAGATGAGATTAGGCAATGGGTTAGCCTGTTTTCTTAAGCTTTAGACAAAACCCTCCAATCAGAGAGGACCCTATGTTTTAACACACACAAAAAGAACAGTTTTTTTACACCAGGCTGCAGGAGGCTGAACTCTCTCCCCTCCTGCTATGGACAATCTACAATAAATGCACATTTGATGGACAATCTTGCACCAAAGATATTGATATTGAAGTGACTGTTATTTATTGATTGTTGTGGTTTTTTAATCTTAATATGTGCATAGGCCTATGTGTAAATGTGTCTATTTATTGTGTATAGGATATACATATTTTATACATATTTGTATATAGCCTGTCTGTATACTGTATAATTTTACATTCGGGATTGCTGGAAACGTCATTTCGATCTCTCTGTCTGTAAACACAAACTGAGTAAGATTGACATTAAAGTTGACTTTGACTTTGACACACACACAACACAAACTTCTTATTTTTTTTTTTTTTCGCTGCTGAGTTTTTCACAAAATAATTAAAAAGTAAACCAGGATGGAGACATGTTTTCCTTTTTTGAGGAACAATAATGGGACCTCTACCACCGACGAGTTGTTGCACTTACTTCAAAGTACTCTTGAGTGGGTGGGTCTTTGTCTAGACTAGAGCAAAACCCTAAATCTGCATTCAGTCTTGTGTGTTGGACAAAGAGGCGTTATGTCTACTCGCCGCTTGTTGCACTCTGATAAATGCAATCATACCACCTACTGGGATACACGAACATGCGTGTCGTGTCCTATAAAACCAGGTATGTATTCTTTTGTATAATGTTTATATTTATATTCTATCATACTGTATGCTATTATTTTGCTATTTTTACGACCAAGGATACCAAGTCACACCTAACTGTGGACATGATGACGACGGAGGACAACACGAAGTCGGCAACGAAGAGTGCAAAGAAAACACTTTTAATGATGGAAGCAAAGCATTTTGTCGACCCTGTGGTTCATGTCGACCCGGGTTTAAAGTGTCGAGTCCGTGCACGACAACTAATGACATCCAGTGCGAAGATCCAGGGTAAGAAGAGTTTGATAACGTAACCAGGATAAATTAGAATACTGTCGATATGATTTTAAAAAGGAAAAATGACATTTACCTTGCGCTCGAGCCTACTCCAGTAGCCTAAATACGAACTGTTAGACACATCACGCACCTACCACGTAGCGGGACACATCATACCATTAAAGACCGCGTTGTGTTTTCACAACAAATAGCCTAAAAAACAGTATTTAAAGAAAAAAAAAGAATTTCACAGAGATGGGAGAAGCAGGGCGGTTCTAGGGGGGGGGGGGGGGGGGGCTTTAAAGGAACTAAATCAAATCAGATACCCGGATTTACAGTGGAGATTAAACTGTTCATTACCTTATAAAAGCAAATACTGTTTATGTTTTTTAATTAAATTGTCACTTAAAGTTACTAAAACAAATACTCTAAACGAAAAAACTACTGAAACAAAGGACTGTAACTTACATTTACCAAAACAAATACCTTTACAAAAACAAATACCAATTACTGTATTTTATGTTTATTTTACAAAATGACTTTATATACTGTCTTTGTCTTTTTAACCCACTTTTATTGTGCCCCTCTCATGAAATAACTGGCCCCAGTCTGGCCCCCCCCCCCAGTAAAATTGGTCTAGAACCGCCACTGAGAAGTATACTCAGATCTTGTACTTAAGTAGAAGTACCAGATTGTAGGAATACTCTGTTAAAAGTCCTATATTCAAAATGTTACTTGAGTAAAAGTACAAAAGTATTAGCATCAAAATATACATAAAGTACCCAAAGTAAAAGTACTCCTGCAAATTGGTCCATTTCAGAATAATATATATGATATGCTTTGATTATAATTATTGATGAATTAAAGTGTTATCAAAGCTGTTAAAGGTGCAGCTAGTTTTAATTAGTTGATTATATTTCACATCATTAATCCAAATCTGTAAAGTAACTAAAGGTATTAGATAAGTAAAAGTACACTATTTACCTCTGAATTGTAGTGGAGTACAGGTTCAAAATATAGCATAAAATGGAAATACTTAAGTTAAAGGTAGGGTAGGTAAGTTTGAGGAACCGGCTCGAGATCGCTAGAATTTGAAAATACACAACCGGAGAAAATCTGCCACTTCCTTATGCTGCGTTCACACCGGACGCGATGCGACTATTCACTTCGCTCTAATCGCTCCTATCGCATCGCTCTAAACGCTGGAGTTTCACCGCGGCTGCCAGCTGTGTTTACTCGCATCATTCAAACAAGACGCGCTGGCTCTGGAGCTACAACTACAACAAATGAACATATTTTACCGTGATTAAATTGTAATACACGTTTCTAAATGATGCCGAAGTAACAACATACTGATACCGGTTAGTAACAACCATGAATGAATGCTTGACAAGTCTGCAGACAAGACGGCAGGTGAAAAACCTTTTAAAATGCTTGTTTTCTGAATGAAGATCGGGTCGACCAGGCTAAGCTAACGTTGTATATGCTCATTCCACACTCATAACAACGGCCTACAGACATAAATAAAGCAGCGACTGTATTCGTCATGACACAGACAGTCTGTGGTTTGTACTTGTTTAACTTTTGTCCAGTTTCTGAACATATATGAGGAGCTGTGAGCTCTGTGTGCTAACAGCTAACGGCTGATGTTGTGTGGTTGAACGTCAGTGACGGCGGCTGAGATCCTCACCGCTGATTGGCTTCCGCGAGAACGCGTCACGTGAATTTGACGCTCGAGTTGAAAAAATTGAACTCTCGCGTTTAACGCGGCACCGTTCAATCGCCTCAATCGCGGGATTCGCGCCACATCCACCGCTTCATGCGCGCCGTCGGAGCGAATTCGCGTCTGTCCGCGTCTCTGCATTGACTTTACATGTAATCGCGCCGCCCCCAAACATCGCATCGCGTCCGGTGTGAACGCAGCATTATAGAGCCCCTCCTCCAACACACACGAACGTGCACATGACCAATGAGGGCACGAGATAAGTTTGTGCACAGATGGAATGCTGACATCCAGTTATTTTAGCCGGGCCGGCTAAAATGATTGGTCATGCTTTTTACAGTATTACGGCTTCCACAGATGACATTTTTTTATGGATTTTTTGTCAAAGCACTTAAGATATTCATTGCTATCGGGATGTTAAGAGCATTCCATGGAATATAACAAAAAGTGTATCTCGAGCCGTTTTCTCAAACTTACCTACCCCACCTTTAAGTACAAGTTTATCAAAATTGTACTTAAGTACAATACTTGAGTAGATGTACTTAGTTACTTTACACCACTGTTCTATTGCTTTTTTTTTTATTTCTCTAGAAGCGGAACGACCGGAGTTCCTGTCACAGTAAGTGAACTGTCTGTAAGCATTAGTATTGGTATTACTAATGACGTTATTAATTGATTGGTGTACATGATCCCAGTTTCTATTTTCCTCCTCAGGTACCAACATCGAAGCATGTTTCAACTTTTCTCAGCATTAGACCAACGGTAATCCATGTGGTCTCTTTTTCCCTTTACCCTATTAAAGTGTGAAGAACAGGCCAAGAAGGGGAAACTGGGGACTGTTGCAACAAGTCCTATTCGTCCAGTCAGAAACATGCTGTTGTGATGACACTCACACTGTAGATGCTCAGTCAGGCCCTCCAACCACCAAGAAAGCAACACTTACATTGTATATGTGCTGCTGAATTTATTGAAAATAAGTAGTTCTGGAGGTACGAAGTTATTCTGTCAAAGTCTGTCTTGCACATGCTTATGACAACAATATGTTAAAGACAAACAGATTCGGGGGTAATATAAAATATATTCAACTCAAATACAAATTTGTATTGCTTTTTCAATCTGCACAAGTCATTGTATGGTTGATATAAGCATAGGCGGATTTTGCGGGGGGGGCATTGCCATAGTGGCTGAAATATGTTACAGCATTACTACGTCGAAAACTGTTCCAATACAAATATTTCGTATGTCAATATTTAATAAGGTAGGACACTGGTTAATAATATTGTAGCGTGTTCAAGTAACCAAGGGATATAGTAGTTATCAAATAAGTATAAGATGTGCACAGTTTTACAGTTATGTAATGCACTGTTGTTGGGGGGAGAGACCGCCCCTTCCATATGAGTGTGTGTGTACGGCGGGCATGGAAAAGTCCCCTCCCCTCACACATACACACACGCTTCAAATCAAGTTGCATAAATACTTGAGCTACGTTTTTATTATAATTACTGTGAAATGTATTGTGTTTTCGTCATTATTTCAACAAATACACACTTGCAACTGATAACACTGGCAATGATTTTATATTTATCAGACTATTAAAAAAAAATCATGCTTCAAAAAAGTGGGGGCTCCACATAAGTGGGGGGACGGCGATCCCCCGCGTCCAACGACCACTACTGCGTAGCACCCCACGCAATAGTTGGGACTGTGTATTGACGTCAGTAAAAAAGGTTTGCCCCCCCAAGCACAAATGTCAAACTCCGCCTATGGATATAAGGATAATTGACCAACAGAGGTTCTTACACTCAAATATATATTTGGTACGATCTGTCATGTAATCATCTTTAAATGCGTTGGATAATAAGCACACATACATAACGTACGTTTAATTTATATAAAAATGTGGTTTGTCTAGACCAAATAGTCTCTAAGGCAATTGAGAGAAATGCAAAAACGTGTTGCAACCGTCCCCAGTCTGCCCTACTTGTGCGGATTGTAATGAAAGCAGCCAAATACTACTTAGTCATTTGTGTCAGGAAATTACCTCTCTTATTAGAATATTTCCAGGCACTTTACAAAAAAAGAATTCCAAATTCCATATGCTTTAAAAAAAAAATGATAAGCTTACAAGAATAGCAAAGCCATTAAATGTTCCTTTAAAGTAAATTGTGTGTATATTTGAGAGTAACATGGTTTTGGTTTTGGGTGTGTTTTTATCTTTGGTCTGGGTTAGAGATGACTTCACCCAAACATGTTACTGTTTCATTTCAGACTCAGATAAACGAAGAGGGTACTTTCCCACCCAGTCCAGGCGCACCAATGTGTAAGCAAGCCCACTCTTGATTATGGAGAAAGACACATTTTTTTTGTTTCTCTACATTTTTTTGTTTCTATTTCTGCAGGGGCGGTACCGTTAGTCATCCTAATTTCCATCACACTTGTTGTGATCTGCGCTTGTCTTATCTTCAGGAAGCGGAAAAGAGGTGTGCATATTGAGAGATAATGTTTAAAAAAGATAAATAAGCATTCAAGTGGAAATCAAGTTCCTCAGTTGTAGTCAATTGAGGGTCTGGGAAAATACCAACATCCGTCAAGCAAATATTGTTTTGATCCCCCCACAATGTTTTCATCTCGTGGTGGTTCTGGCTTTGATCATAACTGTTTATTTCATGCTTGTGTTTAACACAGGACAGCAGACAGTGTTGAGTTACAGCAGAAGATCTTCCTACGTCAATGCAGGGTTCGCCCCCCTGTCTGCTCCAACTGGTAACAATGATCAGAAGGGCCTCCTCAGTGAGTGGAAATTACAATTGTAATCTGTCTGTGACATTGATAAGATCAAGGGGTATCAGTAATGTGTACATAATAATGAGTACATCGTTATCTGCTGGAAGAGTATCGATGAGTATGGCCCACTGAACAGCCGATAGTTGTAGAAGAAGTACTGAGATATTTTTCTAAAGTAAAAGTAGCAAAACTACATTTAAAAATATATTAAAAAGTTTAAGTCCTGCACTCAAAAGCTTGATTAGGTAAAGTATAAGCATTGGCATAAGAATATACGTAAAGTATCTGTGAGGGAAACTTCTGAAGCAATTGGAAACCGGACTCAGAGAGACACGGGGAGAGCTGGAGCTTTGATGGCAAATACTGATGGTTTATTTATTATTTACACAGCCTGTAAAGGTTCAGCTCATTTTAATTACTATGTGTACTACTACTGCATATCTTAACCTATAATATCAAAGTTAATTTCACTATCTTTTGTATGTGGTAATAATCTGTCAATTAAAGTAATTAAAGCTGTCGGATGAATGTAGTGGAGTAAAAGGTACAATATTGGCAGTAGTAGATGTAAAGTAGCATAAAATGGATATACTTTTCTAAAGTAAAAGTACCTCAAAATTTGACTTAAGTACAGTACTTGAGTAATTACACCTCATAATTTTCCTCTTCAGGTCCCAACGTCCTGTCAGCACCTTTACAGACCGTGCTGGACAACCTGGATGTTTTGGAAGAGCTGGTGATATTGCTGGATCCAGAGAGCCATGGAGTTAAAACCACCAAACATCTGGCGTCTCACTGCTCCTTCCCTGCCACCTGGATCACTTACACCTACTCCATGAAGGAGAGCAAGAGCCCGCTGAAAGCCGTGTTTGAGGGGGTCACCAGCAGGCACCCCGAGTGGACAGTGGGGCACCTGGCTAAGCTGCTCGGACATATGAAGCGCTACGATGCCATCGCTGTTCTCGCCAAACTTGAACTGAACGTGATAGAGATGTAACATTCCTTCCACCATAGTACTAGGAGCAGTGGGCAGCTGTTGTAATTGTATTGAGCAATGGGGAGTGTCCGGTGCCTTGCTCAAGGGCACCACGGCAGGGCCCAGGAGGTGAACTGGAACCTCTCCAAGTACCAGTCTACACTCCATATTTTAAGTCTTTACGGGGACTTGAACCAGCGACCCTACGGCTCATTGCCGTATTGCTTTTCATCATTCTTTTTTCTACTTTAACCTTTTCAAATAAAAAAAATAGAAATGTATTCAAACATCTTAACATCTTTATTAAGCAAATAACATTATAAATAAAAAAGTGCATAGAAAAATTAAACAGGTTTAGAAATATGTATACAAATATTTACAAACCCAGGGTTTATTTGTACATGGTAACAAAGACGTACATTTAAAGATCACATATTTTCTTATTTTTTATGTCTTTTACACTTACTTTAAAATAACCCTACTATATATATATATCTATATATATATATATATATATATTTATATATATTTTTATATATATGTGTATATATAACATACAGCTTTCTTAACAGATTCTGGGAGAGATGGTCATGATAACTTCAGGTTTTGACTAGTGCTTCCATCCTTCATTGCAAACTCACACACACACAGTGACAAACAGAGGCACCTACAGACACACACACTCACACAGACTCACACACACTCACCAGCTCTGCCAGACATTAAAACCATGATACTCTTTAAATTACCATCCTCTCTTTTTGCATCAGTATTCCCAAACATCTGTCTAAACAGCTGAGGTAGAATCCTTGCAAGGAGTTGGGAGTGACTCTGCTCTTGTTGTCAGCTAGGTGATTGACACAAGGTAATCTGGGCTCCATCCCAGTGATTGGACATGCAAGAAGGAAAGGGGATTAAGATCAAGACAAAACGTAATGAGGGGAAAAAAAGATGATCATTGGCATGGGGAGGGAAACAGTGCTCACTTTACTCCTGTGGATGATTCTAAGACCGTCAGTAATTTACCGTAAGAAAAAAATAAAAATATAAATGATTCTTTAAAAATACCTGCTTAATAGAACAACTTCTGTCAATAAAGGCTTGAATGCATGACACAACTGCCCCAAATGAAAATTCAAGTAAATTAGTAAAAGGACATCAGTTGTAAACAAACAAGAGATAGGGGGAGATCTCCTCATACACTAGACCGCCACCATTTATACAAAGCACAACCTTTTACCATTAAAAAAAGAAATCTGAACATGAATAAATATCACTACCAATTAGAACAGTGTGTGAATTACAAAAGCCTCATCAATGACGGCACTGAACACCGGCTAAAAACAACATTGAACATTATTTTAAGGTGCCGAGCACACTCTCTCAACTCCATCTCAGACTCAGTGTTTTCTGGATGGAGCAGGAGCCGAACACACACTCAGTGGCGATGCAAAGATATCAACTAGCAGGTTTTTTAAAGATGAAGATAATTTGTATGTTTGATGGTTATTTATGTGCAACTGTAGGGCAGCACATCTTATTGCAATAAGTAATGAGCATCTGCCATGAGACACATCAAATATATATTTAAAAAAACTATTATTCACCACAACTCTTAACCTTTGGCTTGGGTAGTGTTTGCTACATACACTGTACAGCGGAAAAAAAACAGGCCTTGAAGACATGTCTCTGCCTTTATAAATATGACACTGAGTGAAACCGTTATACCATTATCTATTTTGAAATCTACACAGGAAGAGAGTAGGTGACGCGTGGCACGCCAATGATCCGAAGTGTGAAACTTAACGGACACTAAACTCTAATGACAATAAGAGTGCTGCTTGAGTGCATCAATTTAGGATAAATGGTGAATAAACAGCTAAACAATTCCTGATTTGCAGGACATCTTCGTCCAACTAGAGACATAAAAGACCCATCAAAACTTAGCACCATGGTTGTTTTGTTATTCACTGGAAAACAAAAAGATAACAATATGCTTGCGGCCTTCCACGGAAGCAAAAATACGTTAAATGAAACCAAAACTTCTATGTTGCTATAAACCACTGGGGTGAATAGAAACATCTGTTGGGGGACCCTTAAAGTTCATATGTAATTAATAATCTGATGATATCCGCTTTACCTGGCTTTGACTTCTACTATTATTGATTACTCACCTGTGGCCTCAACGATACCCTCCAAGTTCATGATTATCTTAATTTGTTGATGCTGAGGGCTCAGTTCCTAGAGAGGACAGTTAAAGTCAATATTTTGCTGACTGAGTGTCAATATCATGGACAGGATTTGAGCTGAAATGAAGCAAGATCTAGTAAATCCCTTTGGTGTAGGCTTCTAAAGGAAGTCTGATGTTGGTTTATTTTGGAACGTGCTGTGGAAGTCCTGGAAAATCCCTTACAACGGTTTCCGTAAGTAGAAGAGATGAGTCTAACTTGAAATAACAAAAAAGCCATTGAGGTGACTTTCTCCAGCCGCACACAGTTTTGATTCTGAGTTAGTTCAAGTTCTGTAATGCCAGGTTTCTCCTTCTCAGTTGCTTCATTTTCTTCATTTAGCCTATAATATTTGCATCGGCCTTTTCCAGATTGTATACAAAACATATAAAACATAAAAACATGGTTTCATCGAGTTAACCAATACATATTTGTGATACAATTGTGATACAATCAAGATCAAATGAAGTGTTTGACAAAACCCCAAATCACTGCCTTACATTTATCACGCAGATTTCAAAGTGAATTGTATCTCCCAAAAGTGTGTGTGGGTGACGATTTTAGATTCCGGTTTGCAGGGCCTTCATCGTCCATGTCCCATCCTTGGAGGCCCTTGGAGGCCCTTGGAGGCCCCATGGCTGGCTCCTATGCTTCCAATAGATCCAGGGGACCCTTTGTTCCCAATGTTGAGGTCTCGTATTGCATCAGGATGCATAAGAGAAATTCAAAAGCAAGAAACAAGAGCAGCAGAAAATGAGTGTTATCGTCTAGGTTACAAGGTTATTGCATTGATTTAAGTCACACAGGATATATTACACCCTGGCCTCCTGAAAATAAATACAAGCTTGTTTATAGTTCTTTAAACACATTGCTTTAACCCAAAAGAACACCCACTTGTTACAAACAATACAACTCTGATGGTATTTTTTAAATATAGCTTTACAAACATATGGTTTAAATACAAACCATGAGTAACATTTCTCCAGCTGTTTGTAGAAAGAAATAGCATATTTGGAGCTAAGCGCTGTCATCCAGCTGCAGTCAACACTCCATCTGTGTTTTGGTTTACAGGAAAGAATGCAAAGGTTATCCAAAAGCATTACCAGACAATAAATTCAACGTTTGGACCAACACATTCTCACTCCCAACTCGGCCTATGTTGACGTTATGTCAGGGTCCCTGTCGTCACTTTCCAACGCAAGGGGGGGCCCTTTAGCGTCGAGTTTCAACTATCAGGGAGTCCCATTGACTTGCATAGAGCTCCCTGAACGTTGGTAATAGACGAGTTGGGATCGCGGCGAAATGCTCTCCGCACTCCGCAGATCCATTCTCACAGCGTTTATCAACCTTTTTCTAACTCAATATCAAGCCACACTTATTGTTTTTACTTCTTTATTTTAATTGAATAATGTCGGACTTTTGTTGCTGTCAGTTAGGGGGAGAGGGGCTCAGAATACTGAAATCTGTATTGCTTCTAATTTTGTATTATTTTCGAAACCACACACTGTTATTTACTCGACAATAAGGCACAATTATCCTTGTGTTTATTTATTTGTTTGATTGTATAATGTCTGACTTTTGGAGTCCGTCAGGACCGACAGTCGGGTTATGGCTAGAAAGGATCCGTCTTGTGTAAATATGACGTCACGTTCTCGTTGTAACTCTCGTTGTAATTGGAGCGGCTCGGAAACACATCTACAGCAGTAACATGCAACATACACATTAATGCAGCAGCAATATTAATAGAGAAACATCAGACATAACCCATTTTATTGCACCAGGAGCTATCTTGGGACTTTTACTGCGACAACGTTGACTTGCCTGTGAATACAAAATAAACCATAGTGTTGGTGATCTACAGTGTTGTCATTCTTCTTTGAACAGCAAGACCGCTAACACCCTATTTCAACAACCACACTCCCTGTAATTGACATAATTAATAGATAGTTTAGCTTCTCACCATCATTTGCTGTGGCCCACTGATGTTAAAGATCGTAACTGAAAGGCTGCCTGCCAAACGTAAACATTCAGCCACGTGACTTGCAAACTCTCGCGAGAGTTTTACACAAGACGGATCCTTTCTAGCCATAACCATGGATGTATAATAAGAACGGCCATAACCCAACCCGACTGTCGGAGCAGCTCATTCGAAAACAGGAAGCTGTATTTTCAAAATAAGAGTTCATTTTAATATTGTGTTTGATAATATGTTTTTTATTAACTAGACCACTGGGTCATGTTAAGACCATATTTTCTGTCGGTTTGGTGTTACAAATATAAAAACAATATATGTGTGGATAACAAAATACATCCATCATAAACTAAACTGGAAACAGCAGTATATTTTATTGTGTTAACACTGTAAACTTGAGTGCTTTAACCGCCTAGTGGTTAAAGCACGTTATTGAATTTTTGTTGTTGATACGTTATATTTGATGAAAACATAAAAATATTAACCTGTTAAGTCCCGAGCCTGTTTTCCAGGTCTCAGGCTCGAAAATGACATTTAAGAGAACAAATGACCATAACTACACTTCTAAAAGGGGAAAATTAATAATATTTTATCCAAACTATAACATATAATAAGTACCCTGTATCAAGATTGATGCAAAACAAGTGAAATTTGACCTTTTTAGAGAGATTTAGCAAAAAAAAAAACACGTTTGGGGTCATTTGGGTGCATTTTCCATATCTCTGGCCCCCCTTGGTCGATTTTGATGATTGACATCTCTTTTTAACCGCTAGAGCCAATGGAATTGAGGGAAAGTTCCACATACACACACACGTTACCAAATAAGGAGTGAGAGTGACCCGTAGCAAAAACCGGAAGCTGCACTAACCTATGGTGGCTACCATTAGCAGCTAATATTTATTTTCCGATTTTTGCATAAAAATTGAATTATGGATTATCAATAATTTTTTCAAAGTGACAGACACATTGGATTAACCTATGGATTAACCTTCAGACGCGTTTTTTGTCGTTTTAATGCCATTGAACACAACTTTTGATCAGAATAACCGCTAAAGGTGAGCATATCTCCGTGTTTTGCTACCTAAAGCTACGTCGTGTGTTGTCTGTATTTGCTTCCCCTGTCACGAGTTCTAATCGCTCAGTGATGATACTTATATTTCTATAATCTGTGGAATCTCAGGATGTTAGCTAAACTTGTTTGTGCAGATCCAATAAGTATATCGATCGGTATAGCTAGAGTTCTGTGCTAAGTGCGTTAGCATGTTTTCGCTCAGGGCTCATTTAGACCCTTCTTTTGAGACTTGTGTTTTGTTTCGGTAAAAATGGTTCGTATCATCAGTTAGCTGAGTTTCTTCCCGTTAGGAGGGTATGACACATTCATAGTTTTTCTTTAATATTAAGAAGCCCTGAGACACAGTGTCGTGAAAAAAAAAAAAAAAAGACCCGCCGAAGGGGTCTTTGGGGCTTAAAGGAGAGGTGTCATGGCCATTTCCACTGATCATAATTCCATTGTTGAGGTATACTAAAATAGATTTATACTGTGCAATTTTCCAAACTCACATTGGTTTCGCATAAAGTATGTGTATTCAGCAGTATTCACTCTCTCCACTAAACGGCTCGTTGGAGCTCTTGCCCCCCCCTCCCTGTGAGCCTTGTGTGCTCCGATTGGTCAGCTCGGCCACTCTGTTCTGATTAGTCAACCACCAGAGAGGCTCCGCCCATGTCTAACAGTGCTTTTTTCGGCTCGCTCTCAGCCGAACAACAGTCTTATAATGGCCTCGGTACAGCCGTATATTTTATACGCTAACTAACCGAACTGTACCTACAACTGTTGTTATAGAAGAGTAAGTTATTTTTACCTGTAATAAACTACTACTGTTTGATGAGAAATCAAATCATGGTTTGCTATATATGAATGATATGTTATAGGAGCAAATCATTCAGGAAAGAAAGGATAGGCCTACTAAGTATTTCCATCAAACTTTATTTTTAGAAATGTACAAAATGAACATGCGTAAATATACATATATACACTGTATATCATCCATTCCTCCCCTTATAGGCGTTTTCTGCATCTTGCCTATCGCAGCTTTGTGAGCGGCTGCCGGGGCTTTTTAGGACGAGGCTTTTTAGGACGAGGCATCAGAGTGGGTCATCCTGTGTGTGTGTTGTCCGCCAGATACGCCAGGAGTTTCCTGATCTGGCTGGACGAAATCAAATGCAAATCACAAAATATTAGAGAAACTTAGTTGTTTTAGATTCGTTAGTAGTAGTTGTGGGAGGAGTGTGTATCTATCTAATCTATCTATCTAATCAACACAGTTAGCTTGCCAGCTAATATGCTAACCGTTTGCTAGTTGTTCAGTGTAATATGCTATAGGCTACTATACTATACTATACTATGAACAACAGTGGTTCATATTAGGCTATCAAGAACATGTTTACAATTGCAATCTTATACGGGTAGTCTGCTACATTCATTGTAGCTGGCATAACAACAATGTTTTCCCGAGCAAACTAATGTCTAGCTCCGTTTTTTAGCTCGGAAGCATACACGCTAGGAACGCCAGCTATAATGTAATTACGTTTCGCGACTGACTGTACGGTAAATCACCCGGAGTATACTGTCTATGAGTATTTCGTGTGTGAATGCAGACATTCTCCTGCTATGAGATACATGTATGTAAGGCCATCTGCTGATATTAGAGTTGATATATGGAAACGCTAGCAACTTAGTTAGCACAGTTAGCACTGTGTCAATGGCTTAGCAGTCCGACACACGTTTACACATTTAAACAGTCGTGGTAGATACCTTGTTTGATAAATACACAAATAACAATGCAAACTTACAGGTTGTGTACCCGAATCTTCCCCTGCTCCAAATGGTCCAAACAAACTAGGAATAGCATCGTCCTTCAGTTTCAAATGCTGTGCATATCCGGCCTCAAACTGGGCAATGTTTTGGAAGCTTTCGTCTGTGAAATGCCGTGCACACAGTAACGTTCTTCGAACCTCTGAAGGAACAGTGTTAAACAGACATTTCAACCACTGACTTCGTCGTGGTTCTTCCGTCGGTAGGACAAACAACTCAGCTTTCTCCTCACATTTCAGGAAACAGGTCCTTGGCATTGGCATGACTGGATCGATTGTGAACTGAACCAGAGCTTCCAACAGTAAATGTTAGGCTGGCAGAGGGTGCGCCAGCGCCGCTGGGTGTGGCCATAGCTCTTCTGGATTGGTCCATTTTGTTCCGGGTACCGCATGACATCATGCCGTACCCGGAATAATCAAATGGACAGTGACGTATCTCCAACGAGGCGTTTTGGGGAGGTATTTTCTGTGTTAAGTTTTACTCGCTACAGGGTGTACTTTGAGGGTTTTGACTCTGCACACCGTTTACATGCATAAAAACCTTCATAACACACAAGGGGACGGGTAATAACCGGAAAAGCATGACACCTCTCCTTTAAGAGTACATACTTTCATAGGGGGAAAGTAGAAGGTCAATGATAGAAATATAGAATAGAACATATCAATAAGATACTGTAAGTGATCTCTACAATAAAACAGTTTAGTGCAGGATGTCCAAAGATATTAATAGGAGGATGTGCAAAACAGAAAAACTAATTTAAACATTAAAGAATACTCGTTTGAATAAGAAAAAAGCTTTGGGGGTATCTACAGATAAATATTAAGCCTGACAAAGTACTTAAAGGTGGGGTAGGTAATTTTGGAGAAACCAGCTCAAGTGCGCTAGAATTTGAAAATACACAGCCGGAAAAAATCTACCACTTCCTGACATGACCAATGAGGGCACGAGATAAGTTTGTGCACAGATGGAAGGCTGACAGGCAGGTAGGCAATCCAGTTATTTTAGCCGGGCCGGCTAAAATGATTGGTCGTGCTTTTTACAGTACTACGGCTTCCACAGATGAAAGTTTTTTATGGATTTTTTGTCAAAGCACTTAAGATATTCATTGCTATCGGGATGTTAAGAGCATTCCATGGAATATAACAAAAAGTGTTTCTGAAGTGAATTACCTACCCCACCTTTAAGTACAGTACTTGAGTAATTGCACCCCATAATTTTCCTCTTCAGGTCCCAACGTCCTGTCAGCACCTTTACAGACCGTGCTGGACAACCTGGATGTTTTGGAAGAGCTGGTGATATTGCTGGATCCAGAGAGCCATGGAGTTAAAACCACCAAACATCTGGCATCTCACTGCTCCTTCCCCGCCACCTGGATCACTTACACCTACTCCATGAAGGAGAGCAAGAGCCCGCTGAAAGCCGTGTTTGAGGGGGTCACCAGCAGGCACCCTGACTGAACAGTGGGGCACCTGGCTAAGCTGCTCGGATATATGAAGCGCTACGGTGCCATCGCTGTTCTCACCAAACTTGAACTGAACGTGATAGAGATGTAACATTCCTTCCACCATAGTACTAGGAGCAGTGGGCAGCTGTTGTAATTGTATTGAGCAATGGGGAGTGTCCAGTGCCTTGCTCAAGGGCACCACGGCAGGGCCCAGGAGGTGAACTGGGACCTCTCCAAGTACCAGTCGGCACTCCATATTTTAAGTCTTTACGGGGACTTGAACCACGACTCACAGTCTAAGCCGGACAGTTAAGACTCCAGAGTTTGGGCTTTCTGCAATCATTACTGAAAAAGCTCCAACATGTAATCCAATCTGAGGTTGGTCTGAGTAAGCATACTCAGACCAACCTATCCTGTTATGTCTTTATTTTTTCATTATTCCATTTTTTTTTTGGTAAAAAATATGAATTTATTTTCAAAATACCAACATTTCTTCTTGTAAAAGTAAGACTTAATTCACGAAACCTCAGACTCTTTGTTTTTTATTCTAACAGTGGCCTTTATACATTCTGAAAACAGTGTATTGCTTTTCATCATTCTTTTTTCTACATTAACCTTTTCAAATAAAAAAATAGAAATGTATTCAAACATCTTAACATCTTTATTAAGCAAATAACATTATAAATAAAAAAGTGCATAGAAAAATTAAACAGGTTTAGAAATATGTATACAAATATTTACAAACCCAGGGTTTATTTGTACATGGTAACAAAGACGTACATTTAAAGATCACATATTTTCTTATTTTTTATGTCTTTTACACTTACTTTAAAATAACCCTACTATATATATATATCTATATATATATATATATATATATTTATATATATTTTTATATATATGTGTATATATAACATACAGCTTTCTTAACAGATTCTGGGAGAGATGGTCATGATAACTTCAGGTTTTGACTAGTGCTTCCATCCTTCATTGCAAACTCACACACACACAGTGACAAACAGAGGCACCTACAGACACACACACTCACACAGACTCACACACACTCACCAGCTCTGCCAGACATTAAAACCATGATACTCTTTAAATTACCATCCTCTCTTTTTGCATCAGTATTCCCAAACATCTGTCTAAACAGCTGAGGTAGAATCCTTGCAAGGAGTTGGGAGTGACTCTGCTCTTGTTGTCAGCTAGGTGATTGACACAAGGTAATCTGGGCTCCATCCCAGTGATTGGACATGCAAGAAGGAAAGGGGATTAAGATCAAGACAAAACGTAATGAGGGGAAAAAAAGATGATCATTGGCATGGGGAGGGAAACAGTGCTCACTTTACTCCTGTGGATGATTCTAAGACCGTCAGTAATTTACCGTAAGAAAAAAATAAAAATATAAATGATTCTTTAAAAATACCTGCTTAATAGAACAACTTCTGTCAATAAAGGCTTGAATGCATGACACAACTGCCCCAAATGAAAATTCAAGTAAATTAGTAAAAGGACATCAGTTGTAAACAAACAAGAGATAGGGGGAGATCTCCTCATACACTAGACCGCCACCATTTATACAAAGCACAACCTTTTACCATTAAAAAAAGAAATCTGAACATGAATAAATATCACTACCAATTAGAACAGTGTGTGAATTACAAAAGCCTCATCAATGACGGCACTGAACACCGGCTAAAAACAACATTGAACATTATTTTAAGGTGCCGAGCACACTCTCTCAACTCCATCTCAGACTCAGTGTTTTCTGGATGGAGCAGGAGCCGAACACACACTCAGTGGCGATGCAAAGATATCAACTAGCAGGTTTTTTAAAGATGAAGATAATTTGTATGTTTGATGGTTATTTATGTGCAACTGTAGGGCAGCACATCTTATTGCAATAAGTAATGAGCATCTGCCATGAGACACATCAAATATATATTTAAAAAAACTATTATTCACCACAACTCTTAACCTTTGGCTTGGGTAGTGTTTGCTACATACACTGTACAGCGGAAAAAAAACAGGCCTTGAAGACATGTCTCTGCCTTTATAAATATGACACTGAGTGAAACCGTTATACCATTATCTATTTTGAAATCTACACAGGAAGAGAGTAGGTGACGCGTGGCACGCCAATGATCCGAAGTGTGAAACTTAACGGACACTAAACTCTAATGACAATAAGAGTGCTGCTTGAGTGCATCAATTTAGGATAAATGGTGAATAAACAGCTAAACAATTCCTGATTTGCAGGACATCTTCGTCCAACTAGAGACATAAAAGACCCATCAAAACTTAGCACCATGGTTGTTTTGTTATTCACTGGAAAACAAAAAGATAACAATATGCTTGCGGCCTTCCACGGAAGCAAAAATACGTTAAATGAAACCAAAACTTCTATGTTGCTATAAACCACTGGGGTGAATAGAAACATCTGTTGGGGGACCCTTAAAGTTCATATGTAATTAATAATCTGATGATATCCGCTTTACCTGGCTTTGACTTCTACTATTATTGATTACTCACCTGTGGCCTCAACGATACCCTCCAAGTTCATGATTATCTTAATTTGTTGATGCTGAGGGCTCAGTTCCTAGAGAGGACAGTTAAAGTCAATATTTTGCTGACTGAGTGTCAATATCATGGACAGGATTTGAGCTGAAATGAAGCAAGATCTAGTAAATCCCTTTGGTGTAGGCTTCTAAAGGAAGTCTGATGTTGGTTTATTTTGGAACGTGCTGTGGAAGTCCTGGAAAATCCCTTACAACGGTTTCCGTAAGTAGAAGAGATGAGTCTAACTTGAAATAACAAAAAAGCCATTGAGGTGACTTTCTCCAGCCGCACACAGTTTTGATTCTGAGTTAGTTCAAGTTCTGTAATGCCAGGTTTCTCCTTCTCAGTTGCTTCATTTTCTTCATTTAGCCTATAATATTTGCATCGGCCTTTTCCAGATTGTATACAAAACATATAAAACATAAAAACATGGTTTCATCGAGTTAACCAATACATATTTGTGATACAATTGTGATACAATCAAGATCAAATGAAGTGTTTGACAAAACCCCAAATCACTGCCTTACATTTATCACGCAGATTTCAAAGTGAATTGTATCTCCCAAAAGTGTGTGTGGGTGACGATTTTAGATTCCGGTTTGCAGGGCCTTCATCGTCCATGTCCCATCCTTGGAGGCCCTTGGAGGCCCTTGGAGGCCCCATGGCTGGCTCCTATGCTTCCAATAGATCCAGGGGACCCTTTGTTCCCAATGTTGAGGTCTCGTATTGCATCAGGATGCATAAGAGAAATTCAAAAGCAAGAAACAAGAGCAGCAGAAAATGAGTGTTATCGTCTAGGTTACAAGGTTATTGCATTGATTTAAGTCACACAGGATATATTACACCCTGGCCTCCTGAAAATAAATACAAGCTTGTTTATAGTTCTTTAAACACATTGCTTTAACCCAAAAGAACACCCACTTGTTACAAACAATACAACTCTGATGGTATTTTTTAAATATAGCTTTACAAACATATGGTTTAAATACAAACCATGAGTAACATTTCTCCAGCTGTTTGTAGAAAGAAATAGCATATTTGGAGCTAAGCGCTGTCATCCAGCTGCAGTCAACACTCCATCTGTGTTTTGGTTTACAGGAAAGAATGCAAAGGTTATCCAAAAGCATTACCAGACAATAAATTCAACGTTTGGACCAACACATTCTCACTCCCAACTCGGCCTATGTTGACGTTATGTCAGGGTCCCTGTCGTCACTTTCCAACGCAAGGGGGGGCCCTTTAGCGTCGAGTTTCAACTATCAGGGAGTCCCATTGACTTGCATAGAGCTCCCTGAACGTTGGTAATAGACGAGTTGGGATCGCGGCGAAATGCTCTCCGCACTCCGCAGATCCATTCTCACAGCGTTTATCAACCTTTTTCTAACTCAATATCAAGCCACACTTATTGTTTTTACTTCTTTATTTTAATTGAATAATGTCGGACTTTTGTTGCTGTCAGTTAGGGGGAGAGGGGCTCAGAATACTGAAATCTGTATTGCTTCTAATTTTGTATTATTTTCGAAACCACACACTGTTATTTACTCGACAATAAGGCACAATTATCCTTGTGTTTATTTATTTGTTTGATTGTATAATGTCTGACTTTTGGAGTCCGTCAGGACCGACAGTCGGGTTATGGCTAGAAAGGATCCGTCTTGTGTAAATATGACGTCACGTTCTCGTTGTAACTCTCGTTGTAATCGGAGCGGCTCGGAAACACATCTACAGCAGTAACATGCAACATACACATTAATGCAGCAGCAATATTAATAGAGAAACATCAGACATAACCCATTTTATTGCACCAGGAGCTATCTTGGGACTTTTACTGCGACAACGTTGACTTGCCTGTGAATACAAAATAAACCATAGTGTTGGTGATCTACAGTGTTGTCATTCTTCTTTGAACAGCAAGACCGCTAACACCCTATTTCAACAACCACACTCCCTGTAATTGACATAATTAATAGATAGTTTAGCTTCTCACCATCATTTGCTGTGGCCCACTGATGTTAAAGATCGTAACTGAAAGGCTGCCTGCCAAACGTAAACATTCAGCCACGTGACTTGCAAACTCTCGCGAGAGTTTTACACAAGACGGATCCTTTCTAGCCATAACCATGGATGTATAATAAGAACGGCCATAACCCAACCCGACTGTCGGAGCAGCTCATTCGAAAACAGGAAGCTGTATTTTCAAAATAAGAGTTCATTTTAATATTGTGTTTGATAATATATTTTTTATTAACTAGACCACTGGGTCATGTTAAGACCATATTTTCTGTCGGTTTGGTGTTACAAATATAAAAACAATATATGTGTGGATAACAAAATACATCCATCATAAACTAAACTGGAAACAGCAGTATATTTTATTGTGTTAACACTGTAAACTTGAGTGCTTTAACCGCCTAGTGGTTAAAGCACGTTATTGAATTTTTGTTGTTGATACGTTATATTTGATGAAAACATAAAAATATTAACCTGTTAAGCCCCGAGCCTGACAAATGACCATAACTACACTTCTAAAAGGGGAAAATTAATAATATTTTTTCTCAAAGCAATGATAAACCTGTGAGTTGGATGTAGAAAATTCAGAATCAATATAGATTTATTTTTATTTTAAAGTAAATTCAGATTGAACATAGTAAAAAAATGTAAATGATTGTGTCTGTCCAAAAAAAACACATTACTTATAGTGAAAACCACCCTTGAATGATGGGATGGTAGACTAAAAGCTTTAGGAATCCAAACTATAACATATAATAAGTACCCTGTATCAAGATTGATGCAAAACAAGTGAAATTTGACCTTTTTAGAGAGATTTAGCAAAAAAAAAACACGTTTGGGGTCATTTGGGTGCATTTTCCATATCTCTGGCCCCCCTTGGTCGATTTTGATGATTGACATCTCTTTTTAACCGCTAGAGCCAATGGAATTGAGGGAAAGTTCCACATACACACACACGTTACCAAATAAGGAGTGAGAGTGACCCGTAGCAAAAACCGGAAGCTGCACTAACCTCTGGTGGCTACCATTAGCAGCTAATATTTATTTTCCGATTTTTGCATAAAAATTGAATTATGGATTATCAATAATTTTTTCAAAGTGACAGACACATTGGATTAACCTATGGATTAACCTTCAGACGCGTTTTTTGTCGTTTTAATGCCATTGAACACAACTTTTGATCAGAATAACCGCTAAAGGTGAGCATATCTCCGTGTTTTGCTACCTAAAGCTACGTTGTGTGTTGTCTGTATTTGCTTCCCCTGTCACGAGTTCTAATCGCTCAGTGATGATACTTATATTTCTATAATCTGTGGAATCTCAGGATGTTAGCTAAACTTGTTTGTGCAGATCCAATAAGTATATCGATCGGTATAGCTAGAGTTCTGTGCTAAGTGCGTTAGCATGTTTTCGCTCAGGGCTCATTTAGACCCTTCTTGTGAGACTTGTGTTTTGTTTCGGTAAAAATGGTTCGTATCATCAGTTAGCTGAGTTTCTTCCCGTTAGGAGGGTATGACACATTCATAGTTTTTCTTTAATATTAAGAAGCCCTGAGACACAGTGTCGTGAAAAAAAAAAAAAAAGACCCGCCGAAGGGGTCTTTGGGGCTTAAAGGAGAGGTGTCATGGCCATTTCCACTGATCATAATTCCATTGTTGAGGTATACTAAAATAGATTTATACTGTGCAATTTTCCAAACTCACATTGGTTTCGCATAAAGTATGTGTATTCAGCAGTATTCACTCTCTCCACTAAACGGCTCGTTGGAGCTCTTGCCCCCCCCCTCCCTGTGAGCCTTGTGTGCTCCGATTGGTCAGCTCGGCCACTCTGTTCTGATTAGTCAACCACCAGAGAGGCTCCGCCCATGTCTAACAGTGCTTTTTTCGGCTCGCTCTCAGCCGAACAACAGTCTTATAATGGCCTCGGTACAGCCGTATATTTTATACGCTAACTAACCGAACTGTACCTACAACTGTTGTTATAGAAGAGTAAGTTATTTTTACCTGTAATAAACTACTACTGTTTGATGAGAAATCAAATCATGGTTTGCTATATATGAATGATATGTTATAGGAGCAAATCATTCAGGAAAGAAAGGATAGGCCTACTAAGTATTTCCATCAAACTTTATTTTTAGAAATGTACAAAATGAACATGCGTAAATATACATATATACACTGTATATCATCCATTCCTCCCCTTATAGGCGTTTTCTGCATCTTGCCTATCGCAGCTTTGTGAGCGGCTGCCGGGGCTTTTTAGGACGAGGCTTTTTAGGACGAGGCATCAGAGTGGGTCATCCTGTGTGTGTGTTGTCCACCAGATACGCCAGGAGTTTCCTGATCTGGCTGGACGAAATCAAATGCAAATCACAAAATATTAGAGAAACTTAGTTGTTTTAGATTCGTTAGTAGTAGTTGTGGGAGGAGTGTGTATCTATCTAATCTATCTATCTAATCAACACAGTTAGCTTGCCAGCTAATATGCTAACCTACGTTTGCTAGTTGTTCAGTGTAATATGCTATAGGCTACTATACTATACTATACTATGAACAACAGTGGTTCATATTAGGCTATCAAGAACATGTTTACAATTGCAATCTTATACGGGTAGTCTGCTACATTAATTGTAGCTGGCATAACAACAATGTTTTCCCGAGCAAACTAATGTCTAGCTCCGTTTTTTAGCTCGGAAGCATACACGCTAGGAACGCCAGCTATAATGTAATTACGTTTCGCGACTGACCGTACGGTAAATCACCCGGAGTATACTGTCTATGAGTATTTCGTGTGTGAATGCAGACATTCTCCTGCTATGAGATACATGTATGTAAGGCCATCTGCTGATATTAGAGTTGATATATGGAAACGCTAGCAACTTAGTTAGCACAGTTAGCACTGTGTCAATGGCTTAGCAGTCCGACACACGTTTACACATTTAAACAGTCGTGGTAGATACCTTGTTTGATAAATACACAAATAACAATGCAAACTTACAGGTTGTGTACCCGAATCTTCCCCTGCTCCAAATGGTCCAAACAAACTAGGAATAGCATCGTCCTTCAGTTTCAAATGCTGTGCATATCCGGCCTCAAACTGGGCAATGTTTTGGAAGCTTTCGTCTGTGAAATGCCGTGCACACAGTAACGTTCTTCGAACCTCTGAAGGAACAGTGTTAAACAGACATTTCAACCACTGACTTCGTCGTGGTTCTTCCGTCGGTAGGACAAACAACTCAGCTTTCTCCTCACATTTCAGGAAACAGGTCCTTGGCATTGGCATGACTGGATCGATTGTGAACTGAACCAGAGCTTCCAACAGTAAATGTTAGGCTGGCAGAGGGTGCGCCAGCGCCGCTGGGTGTGGCCATAGCTCTTCTGGATTGGTCCATTTTGTTCCGGGTACCGCATGACATCATGCCGTACCCGGAATAATCAAATGGACAGTGACGTATCTCCAACGAGGCGTTTTGGGGAGGTATTTTCTGTGTTAAGTTTTACTCGCTACAGGGTGTACTTTGAGGGTTTTGACTCTGCACACCGTTTACATGCATAAAAACCTTCATAACACACAAGGGGACGGGTAATAACCGGAAAAGCATGACACCTCTCCTTTAAGAGTACATACTTTCATAGGGGGAAAGTAGAAGGTCAATGATAGAAATATAGAATAGAACATATCAATAAGATACTGTAAGTGATCTCTACAATAAAACAGTTTAGTGCAGGACGTCCAAAGATATTAATAGGAGGATGTGCAAAACAGAAAAACTAATTTAAACATTAAAGAATACTCTTTTGAATAAGAAAAAAGCTTTGGGGGTATCTACAGATAAATATTAAGCCTGACAAAGTACTTAAAGGTGGGGTAGGTAATTTTGGAGAAACCAGCTCAAGTGCGCTAGAATTTGAAAATACACAGCCGGAAAAAATCTACCACTTCCTGACATGACCAATGAGGGCACGAGATAAGTTTGTGCACAGATGGAAGGCTGACAGGCAGGTAGGCAATCCAGTTATTTTAGCCGGGCCGGCTAAAATGATTGGTCGTGCTTTTTACAGTACTACGGCTTCCACAGATGAAAGTTTTTTATGGATTTTTTGTCAAAGCACTTAAGATATTCATTGCTATCGGGATGTTAAGAGCATTCCATGGAATATAACAAAAAGTGTTTCTGAAGTGAAT